ACACACTTTTTGCAAGACTTGAGAGAGTGCATTATCCGAAATAAAGATACAAATAATTGATGGGCACATAAGCAACAAACCTCATTTATATGCCGTTATGTGTTTATAATTTTATCAAGTTTTTTTTTTCGCTTCCACAGGATTTGTTCTTTTGTTCAATATATTGCAGCAATGAGTCTTTCTCGTCTACGTTGACCATGCAAAGTCTGACTGTAATCAAACTTCAACTGGCATGTGCAATGAAGCGAGTGTCTATTAAACTAGATTTTTACGTGTCTGCAATAAAATTGTCAAAAAAGACGAAAAAATCACAGGGTTTATCAGAATTTCAGCAAGGTATGTGCTTTTATTGCTTGATAGGCCAAACAGAAGCTTTGCAAGGAGATGCCAAAGAAAACTGTGTTCAAAACATTCTGTCAGGAGTGTATTTGTGACTTCATTTTCTTTCACTCTATTATCATATAAATGACAAAATTATTCAGCATCAACTTACCAATCAAGTCAGTAGCATGACCTGCGATCTTGCAAAGCATTCTTCTCGTTATATATTTTTTCCAACTTTTATCACTTTTCTTGTCTAGCGTTCTGATCTATGCTCGTCTCAAATGTCACCGAGACTTTAGATAAAGAATTCTACCTCCATCATAGAAGAGTTCATTGCTAAGGTTATTTCAGGAGGTACGTAAATTGTATTCACATGTAGACGTTTAATGTGATTTTATAAAATGATTGTCAGTCAAACGTTATTGTGATTCAAAACATCTGATTTTGATAACAACCTTGATATCTGATATATATCCACGAATTATGAATTCTGTTATGATTTTTTTTTATCCCATGACAAATCATTTTCTTGCAATGTTTGTTTTTTATTCAATAAAAAGAACTAATTGAAGCGAGTCGCTTTTGACTCCAGGATAGTTAATCAAAAAGTTGAAAAATGTCCATAATTTAATATATGTGTTCTCTTTTTTAAGATATTTGAAACCAAAAATAATATAAAGCATTCCTAAGCGTAACCATGGAAGATTTACAAGAGAAAAATCGAACCATTCTATAAATCTTTTACACATCCTTTTTGTGAAATCATTGGAGTGAAAGGAGTAAAAAAAATAGGAGAGGAAACAGAGGAACCTCTTATCTGGAGTCGATAACGCAGCTGTAGAGGGGAAAAGAACGTATTACTTTCAATGTAGATCTCGAGTTCTTGCACATGTTTTTGATGTTTCGAGGAGAGACGGGCCCTAGTCCGTTTAACTGCGGAACGGAATGCTCGAAGAACATAAAAATTACATACAATCCACGCCATATGCTAAAACTGCAATTTCCATGATATATAACATACGAATCCTTGATAGAAATGCTTTACAAAGAAAGAAAAAAATTCTATGATTTGCCCCTCTCGATTTCAAGATAAAAAAAATCCAAAAGTTTATGAAAATATGCTCTGTGTGCATCATCGGTGTTTAGAGTTTAGTAGAAACAGTATTGGGATAAGGGTTTAATTACATTGTAAATATACAAATTTTCTTATGTTTTGATGTTACGAACATTTTCCATCAGATAAGAGAATATGACTTGATTTTTTTCAGATTCAAAGCGGAGTTCTGAGAGGAACCATACGGCGTGTTCCTAAACAAATACATATTATTTGGTGGAAGGCTGTGCTAAAAAGGTGCAAACTATCACAGATTTTCACTTCAAAGTTTGGTAATTTTCGCACATCAGGATTTTTTTTTTATTACATAACAAATCAGATTGTACTTTTCATTGCAGAGCAATTAATCACTGGCTAAAAATATATAATTCACCCAAGTAAAACAATTTGATGATAAACGAGCTACACGGTTTAATTGTTTTTCAAGTAAAATGATTTTTTACCACTTTATCAAATATGTTTTATACAAAGTCTCTTGTGTGTGTTTTTTTTCCAGTGAACGTGTGGTTGATATCTAAAACTTTAATACAACCCCCTTATTAACTGTCTCGGATAGTCTGAACTAGCCTTCTGACACATTCCATTAAAACAAACGTTACAAAAAATCTTAAATTAAATCGTAACGCAAAGTATATAATAGCAGGAAATGAGAACTGCCTCATTTAATTCCAACAAGTAATTTGCCATCTGTTCTATTGCAAAAGAGAAAAACGCCCAGCTGTTAATTAATATGTACATGTACAGTGTAACTTAAACGAAAACTTATAGGTTATTCATATTTTTCTAATTCTCCATTTTCGCTATTGGAATATGTTTTATTTTTTGAGTGAACACGAGGAAAACTGAAGCTTTCATAAAAATGGTATTCTTCCTTGGTTTAAATTAAGATGCATAAACATCATTAAGCACAGGATGGGTATATATTTTTGTTAATGTTATCAAACTAGCTAGTTCCACGAACCGAACACGTCAAAAGGTAATACCAAACTGTTTACGTGTCTGAGTCCCATTCAGTCAGAAAAAAATCTATGTGCGGGTCGTTAATTTTTGGACCTTTATAAAGTGTATCCCTTTCACAAAATGGTTTAGTCATGAAAAACCCGCACTGAGATCACGATAGAATGATACCGTATAATTTTCAGCGTAGTCTTTATTTTGCTTGGGCTATAAAACTTTGAAAAACAATGATGACATTTTTTAAAGATGAAACTGATGCCATGCAGGCCTTTTGAGGAACTGGGATTTTCTTTTGATCTTAAATGAGTTAGAACGTCGTGTGCTATTGTCTTTAGATTACTTAAAATGCAGTTAACTGCAATACTATAGTATTAATGCCTTTTCACATAATGCAACTTAGTAAACTAAAACACTTATCTCAAAGGAAAATCTTGGTTATATCTCTATCTCGTGGAAACTTCGTAATAGCCACATACCAGTATACAACTTGAAGAAGGGGAAAATGGGAACAGGGGCTGTTTAAACGTATAATGGATATCATTATTTAGGAAGGGCGTGGAGAGATTTTATTTCAATTTCTGCCGAACTTTGCGACACCTTTTTGTTTTCAACAAGACCATAAAATCCTTTCAACAGTGCTAACTTAAACACAGAATCCACGGGAACATGCATATATTATATAACATTGGCCTTTTCATACCTGGACATGAATAATTCAATTATCTGAAACATAAATTTTAAGCTCGAATTTCACAGATTTTATTTCTCCTCTTTCACTCCCTTTGACGGGCCCCAGCAGATAATTCAGTGTTTCGGTGCAGGTGTGCAAATCTCCCGAGCAAGATTAAGTACTTGATAAGCGGCAACCATAACGCTCAACCTTTAGGTAAAATGCCCTGAACCAAACAGAACTTGTGTTGTTTGTATACATATGTTTTAACTTATTACCAACAACCTTCCTAGAAATAAAACCTATATGTTTACTGAATGAGGAACTAATTCCATCCAATTAAAAAACTGTTTAGACATATACATACGGTTTAAGCTCTAAAAATATGACAGAGAACTGGGTTATTTAGTGATCGATCGATTTGCTTTGTTGTTTTCCTATGAAAAATATGAAGTTTGACGATTCTGTCACTGAACAATAAAACAGAAGGAGACAATGGTGATAATGAATGTACTCGTGTGCAATGCCATCATGTACCAATAAACAAATGCATTCATTCTGCATGTAAATTGCATCCGTTCCACATAGGGGTCCAAAAATTTCAAATAATCAAAATATTCCACTTACGCCCTTCATAACAACTTTTCCAGCACAAGGTTTTTCTCTATTAAAACAAAGAGATGCGTTTTTCACTGTACCTGTACAGCTAGCTGCTTTTGAAGAAACTGAGAGGTCAAATTGAACTGCAATGAAAAATTCTGCTAACAATAGCCAAAGGTATGACCGCCAACATTTTAGCCACAGTGTGTCACTCATGGAACGGTCAACATGTCAATGAAACAAAAGATATTCAAGGAAACTTCAAGTTAAAAAGAAAAGCCAATTAAAATTTTCAAGTAGTCTAAGTATCGTCACTTTATTTCTACCGTTTGTTGTAATTATTTTTGATGATGCTTTTCCGACTTTCCTTTCAAAAGAGCCCCTGTACACAATGAAGTTCAAATTCATTTCTCAGGAGAAAATCCCCCAATGTCTGAAAATAATGAAAGTTCGTCTCCTCCCACTCGAGACGGAACACTGACCAATGTATTCAAGTTACAATGGAAATCAAATCGCGTCAGCTCGGTTCCTTGTATGGGTTGTATGCCTATTTAGACCGGGTGGCCCATTAAGGCGAGATGAATTTCATTTTATGGCTTTCGGGGGTTAAAGAAAATCACGTTGGGAATTTTTCAATACGAACAAAGGGTCATGCGGATCTCTACTTGGGCTAGTCTTATCGACGGACTACGTTTTATGGGGCAAAATTAAAGTGAATTAAAATTTTCTATGGCCCTTGCCATTGTCAAGATGTGTTGTGTCTTATTCAGGTCGAGGAATGTCACCGTTGTTGTCACGTTTTGAAAGCTGTCCTTTACATGCAAGGAAAAATGTCTTATTATCATCCAGCTGACTGATAGTTTACTGCAAGGAAGATCAAACACTTTCAAGTGGTTATCAATGCAATAACGTGCATCAGATTTTTATCATCTGCAAATTAGACTGATACGTAATGTAGATGCTCCGATAACAAAAAATATGTATGTTAAACATGTACAAGCTACAAGTAAACTAAACTACAATAAATATGGTTCACTCTGTGGAAGAGCTAACGTAACACAGATGATGTTGATTCTAGGTTATCCATTCATGTACTTGTTGTCCATGCTCAATGTTTTTTTGAAAGTTATTTAAACTAAGAAACACTTAGGCATGGGGACAAAGCGACCATGAACGATGTAGCTGTGGGCTTTACACCTGCAATACCTGTGTATACACTCCACGTGTCCAAGGCCAGGATGGGGTCACTGGATGACAAATTGTTTCAGCAATGCTCTAATTAAACCAAACAGCCTTACGGAGTAAACAATCGGGAAAAAATGAGAAAAAAGGAAGTATAAATACTCAACAATTTTATTGCTTTTTTGTCATTTTTCAGAAAGAGTTGGGGAGTCTACACAAACTGACTCTGCATTTTCCAGTTGATTCAGGCCCTCTCATAATTTACCAATAAAAGATATATATATATATATATACTGAGAAAACAATAAAGTTAATAATGAGAAATTACAATTTTATGCCTACTTGAAAGTGTGTGACCAAATTATGCAATACTTAGTTTGTGTTAAGTTTGATAACACCAAACTAAAGGTTGCAAACAAGTTGCTCGATCTTTATTTCAACAAACAGTTTTAAAAAGCTTTCTTAGGTATCTTTTGATAGCTCTGGTCTCTAGAATTTACACCTAATAACACTAAATCTTTGTGGCTGGGGTTCTAAAAATCCAAGATATTTTAGATGAGAAAATCAATATGGGGGCTTATTTAAACATGACTGGCACAAAGAACAAGAGGGCCAGAACACAACTGTACATGTGTATGTATGGAATTCAATATTCTGAATTGTCAAGCTATGAAGTTTCACATACTTAAATCTACTGAAAATTTCAATAACAAATAATCAATTGTTCAGTGCAATCAGCAGTTGGCATTTTTATATACATTTATAACATACACAGACTCAAAAACATTGATGCCAGACTTTTCACACACTGTTTCCACATATATACATGCATAATTCACACAATGTGTATCTCGTACACCCTACATCCATCATTCACCCGTGTACAGAAAGAAACATGCACGAAATTCATACCCACTTCCTTTATAATCATAGCTTATCAATTACATATATTCCCTGACACTACATTTTAATTAAAGTGGGTTTTGTTTTAATTCAGCATATAACAAAATACTGTATTTTTGGCATCAATCATAAATGGGTATCATATACATATAATATGTAATCCATTAATCCAAACAAAGTCTCTAATTCTCATGAAAAAGGGTGGTTTTCTCACATAACAAAAAAAATTACACAATCATATTCAGACTCTGCTTCAAAAAATTCATGTCACTTCCAATATATATAGTCTTCATTAAAAACTAAGGGAAAAAAGAAAAATCAATTGCTTTGTTGCTGAATTACATGTGTTTGCATCTCCATTCTGACACCAGCATAGAGAAGTAGAAATGTTACAGAGCCAACTTCATGAGATATAAAAAGAAATTGATTGGATCATTCCAAGCAAAAGAACAATTTTCTCATAAGTGCCAGGAAAATTATCATCTGTAATATTACATTACAGAAGTATCATCTTTATTTGTTGTATAATCAAATGGTGGGCAGTCCCAGCTGCTCCAGGTCAACAATCTAAGAGAAATTGATTGCAAAGCACTATGCAATGGCAGATACATAAGAAAAAAATTAATTCACGTGATTATTCTGGTTGTTTTCTTTTCTATGATGCAACTGGGCCATACTAAGTTTTTTTTCTGTGTTAAGCATCATGAGTTTTGGTTTTACACAACTTGGATCAGAAAAACCAAAAAGTCCTGAATTGATTTTTTTTTTTATAGAGACCTCTGAATTCTGTCAATTTCTTTAGAAATAAAATCTGTCAAATTAGTAAATACTTAGCATTTTTACTACCTTCATTTGCAAAGGAATAGATTTTCTACCAGAAAAATAGAATAATGAAATCAAAAATCCTTCAAATGATGTCATTTTTATAACTATGAAATCTGTGTTTTACATTTTGGCTTGTGTGGGGGGTTTTTTGTGAATAGATAGGTAGGTTCATGAATAATAGCGAGCGCAGCGAGCGGCGCAAAGCGCCGCTCGTCACTGCGAGCTCTAACGACAACGCCTGGGCGAAGAGAAAATTCGGACTACTGCACATTCATTCAATAGAATTTTTTTCCGCAGTAATTCTGACCCACAATGCATCGCTTCTTGTTCTCGCTGCTAACTTCGTTCACGCTTCGTGACAACAACTAAAAAACTCACCTTAATTTAATGGATATTGCATGCAGATAGTAGATTAAACGTTCTTTGTTAAAATATTTGCACTTTTTAAACTTTGTTTATGGAAATGCAGCTAACATACAACGTCATGTGACGTCACAGTCTAGACGTTCCAAATGTCTCGTGCGGTTTGAAGAGGCGGATCATAATAATGAAGTGAATACTGCGCTCGCCCCAACGGTCGCACCGTCAACATATTAGGTGAACATGAAACAGAGAAAAAACTTGAATGGCCTTAATTGTCTTATCTTCAGATCTCTTACTGCACCCCTCCCCAAACCAACCACCACCACCCCCTCCAATAACATTCGTCCCTTGCATTTAGCTTTGCTACAATTTCCATGCATAAAATTTCATTATTGTTTCAGCACTGGGCAAATACTACCAGAAAAAAGTATCTAGATATACTGAAAGTGACATGAATGTCTTGCCATTGCCTGAATATGTTACCTTTGTTATGAAGTCCTTTGTTGAAATAATAAACATAAAAGAACAGCTAAAGCACAAGTCCACAGAATAAAGTCACTATTCACTCTACAGCCACTTGAGGGAAGGATTTCTATCAAACGTGTTCGGTTTCCCTGAGTTTTCACAATTTCTGGTGAAAGATCTGTTAAATCTTTTGACAACTGTTGTGCTGCTACAGTAAAACTTTCGTCTCCAGTGGTCATGAGATCAAATACACATGAATCAAAGTAAAAATCCACAACATGTGACTTCCGACACAATTCACTTGCTTTATCACTGGTCATTGCGATGTCCCCTTGATGCCCGTCTATAATTCTCCTTTTTTCTGCCAGATATTTTTTATAATTAATTTGCTCTTGTTCAGGGCATCCTTGCACACATAATTGCTGAGTATCATTGTCTAGTGACTGTTCCACAATTTCCTGTGGCATTTTTATGGCAAAAGTGAAATAGCGACCAATTTGTCGCACCCGTATGGTTGTATCAATGAACCTTAAATAAATTTGTACATGTTTCCCAGGATCCATCACTCGGATGGCGACACTTTCATCAGGGCCTACAGCAGATAGGCCATTTTCAAATGTTCCTGGCAGGTTATTTGTGTGAGCTTTGTATGTTACAAAATCACGTGAAGCACAGTCTTCATTCTTCTTTATCACAACAGTCAACTGAAAAAAAAAAATACATCAACAGTTACAAAGTTATCTCATTACTTAAACTACATGTAAAAACATAATATTAAAGATTCATAAATGTAAATTCTTCCATTACAAAATTTATATAGGGTTAAACATGTTGGAATGCACCATTATATCTATATCAAAGTTCTAAAAACATGGGAAAAAAAATATTCAATGAATAAGATGTTTCTAAAATTTTATTGTGTTGCTTCAAAATAAATACTGATATATTCCTGAATAATGCGTGTGTCTTTAAAATAAATTTATTACTAAATAACTTAAGACATGCACTTTTAAAAAGTCTATTTTTCTAAAAGTACACATTTAATGTCTATAAATGTTCACAACTCTTGGTACTAGCTATTTCCTTGTGTCTTTATAATATATGTTTCTCTGTAGATTTTCATTGCATTCCTGATCTCTCTAACAAGTCGTTGTCCAAACCTGTCACATTTTCTTCATGAGAAGTACACAACATTCATCTAGACAGGCCAGCATTTTACCATGTTCAGGATAAAGAAACCAGAGACACTCATTTATCTAGCTTTAGAATACGCTACAGCAAGAGAAGTGAAAATTTGGCTTGACAATTTAAAAAGTTAATGGAAGTGTTTCGACCTTGGGTAAATGCAATGCTGCACACTGCATTCCTTGGTATCTGTCGATATGCATTTAACAGGAGACAAAAGTTTGGATGGTAATCTCACTTAATCAAAGCCAATGTGGACCACCCCGGGACTCCTCTTCTATGTGGTGTGTTTGAATAACTCAAAAATTTTTGCAATAAACATGATAAAACACAGCAAGTCTAGTTCCCAATCAGAGTCAATTTTCAGCATCAAAATTTCGACCAAAATCAGAAAGATTACATCAAATTTTAATCAACAACATAAAATTTGAAAGACACCAACCATAAATTTTATTCTCTATGCTTTTCATATTACCCAATGGCTGTACAGTTTTTTTTTTATATGTTTGTTTTTGTTTTTTTTTAACAGAATTCTAATAAATTGCAAGCCTTCACATCATTTGATGAATTTTCCCTTTTGGTCCCTCAACCAAATGATTCAAGATAAGCATCAAAACACTATCATTGTGATCCTGACTTTTGATATGCATATTAATTTTCAAATACCAAAATAAGTTACTGCAGAGTCACTGACCTGTTTAAAAAAGCACACAGGTATTCGCCAAGATATTTCTATCTACACATGTATATATGTATAATTCTAATTCTCAGATGAAAATTTTTGAATAAAATGATTTTTGGCATGTCAAGATTATGCAAATGCATTTTAACATATATTACTGGAAAAAACAGTTATTGAGTATGTATATGTTCATACATCTGTAGAACAAAACATACACTATTTCACATTTTTTTTTATGTGCAGGTGTCAAAAGACAAGTTTACATACGTCACTTAGTCCTGTTGATTTAAATATCAAGCAAATAAACCCTGGCCAAACTTTAAAACCTCCATACATAAATCTACATTTAATCTCGCATGGCCACAGCTCCAGAATAATATTTTCATAAAGGCTCTCCCTTGGTCTTGGTCTGGTGTTTACTTCACAACAACATGTATGGCAAAAATGTGGTGCTTCTAAATGCAGAACTAAGTTCTACCATTTACACCACTGTTTCAGTACTTAAACTTATGTATAGTTTTTATTAATATGCTAAGTAAATGGGCCATAAATTTGTTCATATTTGACACAATGTTAATGAGCCAGCCAGGTGCTCTGGAAATAAATCAACATGATTAACTCTGTTTGCATGTATTTTAAAACATTTAAGGTTCAATGGTTTGGAATAAAGTACAGAAGCCTGCAAATCATGGGTATTAGCCATAACTGCAACCCATCGTCTTTTTTAATTATTGAATTGTGGACTTTCATTTTGAGATGGAAATGAGTGTCTTTAGAACAAAAATTCACACTGCAAGAAACGTTAATTTTAATATGTGAATATCCTGAATGGCTTTGTCACCCACGTACTACTTTACCGCGACTTCACTTGCGTTGTCCTGTCCCAAATACATAATCATTTGTTGAGGACATTTTACAGGCATTTTTCATTATTTACTTAGAAAAATATATTCAGTGTTCACGTATTTTATGTTATAGGATAGGCATCTCAAACATGGATGCTTGGTGTGGAAGTCTAAAAGTTGTAGGATTGGTAATTAATCAATATATATATATACATTTAGATCTCTCACTTTCCACAATAAATAGACACAACTGTACATTTTAGTACAGCTATAAAATTTTTCATATACCTATATAAAAACCCACTTGCATATTAAGTCTTTACCCTCTGAATGTACGTACAAGTGTACAATTGAAATTGAACCAAACTGTATAAAGCCATTCTAGCTGCAGAACTGTAGCTCTTCGAAAAAAAAAAAATAATGTGCTCAATTCTGGATTTATTTCTCCAAATTCTTATCTGCACAAAAGCTTGATTTCAAGAAATCCCTTAGACCTCTGTCAACTACAGATGTAGTTGACATCTGCATGAAGCACAGTGGACCGAATTGTCTTGCCACCCAAAATGGCAGTATAAATAGGCAAAATTTTCGATGGTCTCCATTTCAGGCCCAGGAGGGCTATTACCAACGGTTATGACTTATGGGGGAATGTTTTCATTGTCGAAATAGTTTAAAATATGTTAGGAACACACAGTTAGTAATATTTTGAGATGGCAGTTTAAATATACGGAGAAATAAATTTAGAATCGAGTGCAATTTGTTGTGCCCAATGAATATACAGTTTTCTCTATGGGTGGCACTGTAGCTCTCCAGTCTGTCAGTATTTTTTTTTTTTTTTTGCGGAGAGCTACAGTTCTGCAGCTACTCTATTTCCAATGATTTTTTTAAAATGCTTTTTGCATCTTCATACTTGAAAAAATGTTAAGATATTGATGCAGAGAAAAAGCAACTTATGTACAGAATGTGCTTCATAGGCATATTTATCTACCATCAAACAGAAACCTATTAAATGCAAGAATTCTTTACTTTGGTGAAATGGATGTTAATTTTTTTCCTATTAAACAAAATTTGTCTTTATTAGGTTTTAAAAGTTATTTTTACTAACATTGAAGAACAGAATAAGAAAAGAAATATGTTCCATTGCAAACAACATATACATTTTAATGGAAAAGTACAGACTACACTCTACTCTAACTTCTCCAAGTAAGAAAGCAAACTTTTTGACTGAATATGTATGTACATTTTTGTGTGTAATGTGGAACTAATGAAGTAGCCTACACCTGTTTTCTTATTTCATTTAAATCTAAATAAGAAAATGCATATTAGCACATAAAACAAATCTGATATATGCCAGAGTGCCTTTGTAATAGTCTATTAATCATGCTTGTCTTGAATTTGAATGCCAGATAAAAAAAATCTAATTAACCAATATAACACCAGATCTACACAGAGTCTTTGTATACGCTATTATTGTTTACATGAAGAAAACACCGAAGCTCTGTTTATGGGGCCCATTTTGATTTGTATATGTTCCAATGAGCAAGGACTTCATCTTCAATTTAAATTGTTTTTCTCCGTGAATACACCAGAGATTTGAGTGATGAAATGCACACAGTTCTTTGCATGTATTCATCAAGTTTTCAGTGTTGCAGTGCTTATTCATCACTACACTTTTCATTCTTTCAGAAAATGTTGCATACATGTGCATGTGTACCATTGTGGATATTGTACGAAAAATTAAAAAAATGTAGGTTATCAAAGATATAAACAAAGCTCATCTTGACAGATGTTATGTACAAGTAAGGATCTCACACCAAACAAATGTTTTGGTATTAAATGTGCATCCCTAGATACAATAACTATACAAGTTTGGTCCATGTAGGATCTATAGATACTTGAAAATGAACCTGCTCCAAAAACTTTAACTGTACTACAGTAGCAGACTTGTCGAAATGTTGTCAGACCAGATGCTGATCATGCATGTACCTTATTTTGATGCTGAGAAAGGAAAATAAATAAATGCTCAAAATACTGTTTACTGTTTTCAACAGCCTTCAATCTTGCAAGTTTCTTTTCTTAGGGTAGAGAGTCTTAAATCAGAGACATAAATGACATGTTTCATGTCTTTGCTGAAACAGGGATGTATATACAGTAGACAAGTATTTAGGTCCCTGGCTGTAACAAATATCATCGACAATCATCACTGCAGTGTGACCACACAGCCATCTCTTCTGTTTTTGTGATGTTCACCTGTGCACCCTGATCCCAATCTTTTTAAAATTTGCGTCATGCTCAATTTTTTCAAACGGTCATTTGGACCATCGCTTTCTTGAAAGACTAATTTTTACTGGCCTTGCCGACAGGACCGACAGTTTCCGACTAGTCACTGTACAATGACCCTGTAAATGTGGGCCAGATCCAGCTTCCAAAGCATATCTGGTAGCTGCATCCGTAGTAACATGTATATCAATTCAAGTTCAGTCACAACAGGGCTTACAGTTACTTGGGAATGGACAAGCTCTATAACTTAAACTTGTTCATTCAAAATTCATTCATTGAAATATGTAGGTTAGATCCAGAATCTGAAGCAAGTCTGTAGTGTGCACCCCTATATGCATCAACCATGGTCCAAGTAGGGCTTATAATTACTTAGAAATGAACCTGCATCAATAAATGTAGGTCAGATCCAGCATCTGAAGCGAGTCTGGTAGTGTGCATCCCTAAATGCATCATCTATGCTAGGTTGGTCCAGAAAGGGAATATACCTGCTTTACTCATCTGGATAATGCAGGTCAATTTATCCAATATCTGAAGCAAGTTTGATAGTGTGCATCCCTAAATGCATCATCCATGCAACTTTGGTTCAAATGGGGCTTATAGTTACTTGAGTAAGAACCTGCTCCAGAAAATTTAACCTAATCATCTGGAAAATTTAAGTCAGATCCAGCATCTGAAGCCAGTCTAGCACTATGGATCCCTAGATCTATGCATCATCTTTGCAAATTTGAACCAGGTAGGACTTATAGTTACTTGAGAATGGACCTGCTCCTAAACTTTAACCTATCTAGTCATCTGAAAAAAGTAGGCAAAATCCAGCATCTGAAGCAAGTCTGGTAGTGTGCATGCTTAGATGCAACACCCATGCAAGTTGGGTCTACATACTTGGCTTACAGGTACTTGGGAATGGATTTGCTCCTAAAACTTAATCCTTGATCACTCATCCAAAAAATATAGGTCAGATTCAACATCCTAAGCAAGTCTGTAGTGTGCACCCCTTGATGCATAATCCAAGCAAGTTTGGTCCAGGTTGCCCTTATAGCTAATGGGGAATGGATTTGCTCCTAAAACTTTACCGAAGCAAACACAGACACCAGTCTGGTGGTATAGCATAAGTTCATCTCAACTTCATTGATATTCATACTTTTAAAGATTTATTTATCCTTTTCAGCTAAAAAAGGATAAATAAATCTTTTAAAATATGAAAACTAAATGAACATGTCCAAAAGACACTTGATTAGAAGGAGTGCTCACTACAGTGCTGATTAATTTAAAAATTCTAGGTCATCTTCTTCATCTATTCTTTTGTTGAAAATGTGTTTATTATATCATTTCCCAAATTGCATTGCATGGAATAATTAATTGTTCATATATTTATGTTTGTTCAAAATCTATATGTAAGATGTTTAGTCAACTGAACATTTTCTTCATATATTCCTTACCTTCTTCTGTACCATGAATAAATAATAATTAACAAATGTAATCATACTACATTTGCACTTTGCTGTCACCTACCAACTTACATTTTTAAACACACAGTTTACTGTCTTTGAATATAAACAAACATCTAAATCATTTTCTGGGACCAAATTCATGTGCCTTCAAAAATTGTATAGATTAATAAGAAGGGTTGCAGAAAGATAGAATTTTGAATATCACAGAAAGTTTACAAATTCTTAATATTTTAGAAATTTGTTGCTTGCATTATTTACCATCAAAATTGGTCCAAAAATATATACCAATCCAGGCATCCATTTTTTGCTTGTATCATCTGTCCTTAATAAAGTACCAATTACTCAGGACATTTATCTTTAAAAAAAAAAAAAAAAAAAAAAAAAAAAACATGTCCAGCCATGGAAAACGTGAGAGAGCTTCCACTTTCTAAAATCTAAGGCTGATAACCACTGGTTTTGTGGAACATGTTCATGCATATGTGGATTAAGACAATTTGTAAATGCTTGTAAGAATGTACTCCTGTACAAGAAATTGAGTATGATGCAAGACAGCAAAAGCACTTTACTTAGCATAATATATGTGCATAATTTTTTACATGCACAAATACAAATCTTCATCATGTTTGAATGGGCTCCTACTTCATTTTATGAATTAGGGTTCAAGACATTTTGATGGAATCATACACAAAATATAAATAAAATATCTGCGGTAGTCAAATTCAGCACAATTGGGATATTCTATAACTAAATTGTACCTATTTTTTCTCTTTTATATGGCTTAGAGGAATGGTTCATACTTGGGTATTATTCAAATCATAATTCATAAACAATGTACTTAAAGTGCTCCATTTTCAATAGTTTAAAAATGTTTAAAACTGATTAAAAAAAAAAAAATTCCAATTTCAAACTTCTTCAACATGCTCATAAAAATCATATTTGATTATTAGTCTTCATTTCATACATTTTACTGTAATCACACTCAAATAAATAAGTATTTTACATTATTAGATCATATACCTTGCTTGTGGCAGTTGCTGCTGCATGGTCTTTTACTGGGTTGTTTGTGACCATAATCACTATATATCTGTTCTGAACCAGTGACCATGCACCTTCCACTTTACAAGTCTGAAAATCATCCCTGAACGTCCTCAAATGGGGATCACCAAATAATCCACAGTGTTCATATTTTATTGGAGTGTTAGGATTTTTGCTTCGAAAAGTACATGTGCAAATTGAATTTGGAAAACATGGATCCATGAGAGGGTCATTAACAACAGTGGTTACATTAAAAGTATCACCATAATCATTACACTTTGAACTTTTCATGTTGAGTATGACACCTCGCTTGGTCAGTTGAAATTGCAAATTGGTTTTGCAGTTCACCTCTTCTGCAATCAGGCACACCAAATAAGTCCTATGTGCTACACAAAGAGGTTCTTCTCCATTATGTGGTTTTATCAAACCTCCATGTGCTGCTCTCTGAGCAGTCCGCCAACGTTCATGACACAATTGCATTCCACATCCATTACCTTTAATAAATCATCAAAAGCATGTTCATTTAGAAGTTAGAAAGATTCCTTTTCTTACATTGTCAGAATAAAAACAAGCAGGGATGTATATACTAACATTCAACTTTTCCTAACTACTTAGTATTAAACATTTGATGAAATACATGAAATCAAATGTAAATCTGTTCAATTTGCATAAGTAAATTGCAATTTCCACATCTAATATTATGGCTTTTCTAAATTCACGAATATTTCAACGTACAACTTCATCACGGAAAAACACTCCTTTCTCCAAAAATATAGGTCCCATAACGGAATGTAAAAATAACGCTTGAAAATTCAATAATAAATACTTACTTGTATCGATTAAGTATACCAATAAGAAAATAACCACCAAGCTCAAAATAGGGGGCATAGGTGGGTAAGACAGCGAGGCCATACCCTCCTTCCATTCGTATGTGACGGAGGGAACTCGGCCAGCCGATGTACGTTCACTCCGATACTCTCTGTGAAAGAAGAAACTCCATCAGTTCAACGCTAGTTTAGTTTCACATGATCAAAACCCTATGTCAAGTGACGGTATAAACATATTCCATTAATAAATTTATATTTCCGTCATTATTGAATTCACACACGTGTTAATTTATCACTAATTTGAGGCACATTCTTCAACATGACTTCTCTGTTAGATCCCAAGTATTGATATGCTAGCGAATTATTCCGCCGAAATGGGTCAGGGGGCGGGGCGTTAAAAAGGTCTGTCAATCAATGTAAACTTTTTATGAAAGAGGTACAATCCTATTGGTTGAAACTGTGTTGCTTATGAATAAACTTTTTACCGTACAGATTACAAACATAGCTTTAACACATTGAAGTTGCCATTTTCTTAGATCAAATGAGATAGGAAAAGAAAATAATAATATGCCTAATATATTTAACGCTTCTTAAACAGCGACGTATATATAGATATACTAACCCTAAGTTAGTACATACGGAAAAAGGTCACTGAAAAGTACTGGTTTTGTTTGTTTGTTTGTTTGTTTTTTTTTTTTTTTTACAATGTCTTGCAAAGTTTTTTGGGGATAATAGTTTTAGTATTAACAAATACTTTTATCGTTAACAGGTTAAGGTCTTTCTACAATTTTGTGATAAATGGAATTGTGTTCATTAAATTATATAAGAGAAATAAAAAACAGTTGTTATTTATACCTCTGATTAGGCCTATGTGTAAAAATGTAATGCCGACTAAAAAGAACTAAGTTAAAAATAACATGAGAACCGATATATTGGTGTCTTCAACAGTCTTGATTAGAAATCATTTTTTTTAAATTACAATTTCGGCTTTACCGTGCATAAACCCGTATTGTTGTACGATTAAGTATTGAAAGGGAAATAACTCCTAAAACTTACCTTTCCTTCACTAACCCATTATTGATTAACTCATGCTGATATATTAATTGTGCTTAATTAATTTCTGCTTATATTGACCAGGTAATGATTGACTCACGCAGAGATAATTATTACGCTTATATATGATCAATTAATACTAAGTGAGTATTAATTAAAACTTCCTTCTATGTTTTTTTTAATCAACCTGTGACATGGAGAGAGCCGTTCAATGAGTAATATATGTTTACAAAACTTTTATGTCGAATGCCAGAATGCGTTCTTTTATATTTAGCGATGTCTTAAACTGCCCCCCCCCCACCCCCTCCAAAAAAAAAAACACACCATAAATGAATCGACCATGATACTCGCGCATTTTAGTCTAATTAAAATATATCGTCTTGATATATTGCATATGTATTATAATGCTTATTTAAAGATTTGCACATTAGTAGGCATGGAAAATTGCACCAATTTAATCCTTCCATTGTTATGATTATTTTACTATACACGCATTATTAATTCACTCAACACCTCTGGAATGTATAGCTGTAGAATGTCAAACATGCGATATGCTAATCAAATATAATTTTGAAATGTTATGACGTTGACATATCTCATCAATTTTGTTTCAAATGTAAGGACAGAAGGGTGAATGTTGCAATGCAGAGCTTGAATTAGGCTTGGAATCTTGGCTGCCTCCAAAGTAAATTGCTATTAAAAAAATGATACAGCTTTGATCCGCTCCCTTTACATAAAACATTTATGCATGTAGGATTCAGGTAAACTGCCTATTGTATACTAGAACAGTATTTTTTGGAACCACCACATGATATGGATATATATCTACTTGATGTATATCATCAAAAAGGAGCCATAAATTAGTTTATAACTTTTTATTTCAGTTATCACGCATTTAGGAATGTAGCGAAGCCTTTATACACGATACAAATGTTTCCCTCAACACGCCTAAAATGTAAGCCTCTTTTGAAACATCTGTTGAACACTTTACTATGCTAATGATGCTTTCAAAGAGGTTCAGATTCCACCAAGCTACGCTCTTCCGAAAACTAGCAGATTTCTTCAGCAGACATGCCGCACTGCTCTCCAGCAAAAAATGGCCAAACGATATCGTGCCTTTCGGCTTTTTATCGAGATCAAACTTGCAAGTAAAAACTAATTGGAAATCTGTACTTTACCATCCTGGCCACAGATGCCAATGATGAGTATCAACTGAAACATTATTTTGGCAATACTTCTTGTCTTGTTCTTTGAATATAGAATTTATTTGATTAACTCTTACGCCAAGTTTTAATTGATCGATGGCACCATTTATTTATTTCATTTATTATATAATACTTTTCTACGACGTCCGCGTTTATGTTCCAAGACGTCCGCGCTGTATATCAGAAAAAATGAAGCGGAAAAAACAGTTATCCATCAAACCATAAATTCTTTATAAACAAATTGAACACAGTAAAACAAAAGTAATAAAAATCGGAGACGTGTACACCATAAGTCTGAAAATCACGCATAGTCAGACTTGACATTCACACTGAATTATAGGAATTCAACGTTTTTCAAATGTCGGATTAGAATCACGTGTTTGCTTGTCAGACCTATCTGAGTATATAACATCGTAATCCTTTCTGTATACGGGTGAAGAGGCTAGCTTCTATTCAATGAAATCCAAATTTTTAAGCTGATAGTTTTGAGTTTCTTCCGCGCTAGTGGCCAGGAAGAATAGAACATGTAAATCCTCTTGCGCCAATCTCTATCAAATATTACTTCAAGTTGGAAAAATAAAAACGGTATACAATTCAGTTTTAAGACGTACGGATTACAATTCTTACAAATGCAAAAGGCTTACAATAATTTTTCACACCTTTAGCGATAACATTCAATATATAGTGAAAACATTAGCAGCACATTCAGACCTTTATCAGGTCGTATTGTAATAAACTGTTATGCTATCTGACACAATTACCTCAAACAAAAATAAACAAGCTTCTGATTTTTGCAGAAAAGTTGAATATACTTAAAAAGACGCCTACCTGAATCTCTGGGGCTGTTTCAAAATGACAAACATATGTTTAACTGTTCATTGCAAGTTGCAACAAAACAGTAAAACATTTTATTTCTCACAATTTATTTTCTCTTGAATGATTCACCGAAAGTAACATATCTGAATCTTTTGCCCAGAATTACTTCAGCTGTTTACTTCATTATATGCATGCCTCTCAAAGGAGGAAAAAATCATATCCAATTGACACACTATAATATGTCATAAAACTAAATTTTTTTTGACAAATCCCAACGTGAACAGATTTTTGCCACCGTCGAATTTTGCACCATTTGCTTCAGTCATAATATAGTTATAATTTTCCCGGCAGGTGCGCGGAATTTAATATATAACTTCACCACATATTTTATAATGCGGCCATTGTGTTCAATTCGGCTTATACTTGAAGTGCTGTAGAAAAAAATTCTTTAAAGCGCAACCACGTGCAAATAACCTCCCTACAGTTTGCTCAATAGCCTCTTCTACTCTCTCTCCCTAATAGAGCTTGTAAAGAAAAAAGGAAAATCCTGTCATTTAAGGCGTGAAGCCTCCATTCGGGGGGATATTGTCAATGCACAAATAATTTCCAGATCAAATATATAAATTCACTAACAATACCCTTGTCGTTACAAGTGGCGATATAAATGGAAATATTCCGTGCCGTATCAAAGACAAGGGGCTCACACCTTTTTATTTACTCAGTGATTCACAAGATCTCGACAATGTTACCATTTTATTTGCCAAGGCTGAGAAAGTAAAAGTATTTGAGTTCAGGATTACATGAAACACAGAAATTGCCCCTTACATTTCTGTCAAGGAGGACTAAGGGATCCTTGTCAAATAGTAACGACAAAACTTTTTTTTTTTAATTAAGATTTGAAAATGGTGCTGCAATCGAATAGGCACATATATTGTACTCATTTTGAAAGTGTATATACCAAGAGATCAATACATCTTCCGGAAATATTTTAATGAATTCTTTATATATGTCTAAAAAAGAAACTACAAATCCAGATTTAACATATACTCCATGTTTCCCAATTACCTCTGTGGTGTTTGTACATGAATCCTACAGAAATTTGCATCGTTACTTTTCTACATTGGTAATTTTATACATTATTACTTTTATATATTTATTTGCAAATTACACGCATATGGGATCAAGCAACTACATAAACAAAGAATAACACAAATTTGAAATACAAATATTAATTAACATTTATAAATGGCTTTGTATGATGTAATTTTTTTACTATAAATTGTTACTTTTATACTTTGTTACTTTAAAACACCCATTGTTACTTTTATACATTGTTACTTTATGCCGTGTTATTCAGTACTTCGTTACTTTTATACACTGTTACTTTAATTTATACATTGTTACTTTATGCCGTGTTATTCAGTACATCGTTACTTTTATACTTTGTTACTTTATGCAGTGTTATTCAGTACATCGTTACTTTTATTCTTTGTTATTTATGCCGTGTTATTCAGTACATCGTTACTTTTATACATTGTTACTTTTATACATTGTTACTTTATGCCTTGTTATTCAGTACATCGTTACTTGTATACATTGTTACTTTTATACATTGTTACTTTATGCCGTGTTATTCAGTACATCGTTACTTGTATACATTGTTACTTTTATACATTGTTACTTTATGCCGTGTTATTCAGTACATCGTTACTTTTATACACTGTTACTTTTATACATTGTTACTTTATGCCGTGTTATTCAGTACATCGTTACTTTTATTCTTTGTTATTTATGCCGTGTTATTCAGTACATCGTTACTTTTATACATTGTTACTTTTATACATTGTTACTTTATGCCTTGTTATTCAGTACATCGTTACTTGTATACATTGTTACTTTTATACATTGTTACTTTATGCCGTGTTATTCAGTACATCGTTACTTGTATACATTGTTACTTTTATATATTGTTACTTTATGCCGTGTTATTCAGTACATCGTTACTTTTATACACTGTTACTTTTATACATTGTTACTTTATGCCGTTTTATTCAGTACATCGTTACTTGTATACATTGTTACTTTTATACTTTGTTACTTTAAAACACCCATTGTTACTTTTATACATTGTTACTTTACGCCGTGTTATTCAGTACATCGTTACTTTTATACATTGTTACTTTTATACATTGTTACTTTATGCCGTGTTATTCAGTACATCGTTACTTGTATACATTGTTACTTTTATACATTGTTACTTTATGCCGTGTTATTCAGTACATCGTTACTTGTATACATTGTTACTTTTATACATTGTTACTTTATGCCGTGTTATTCAGTACATCGTTACTTTTATACACTGTTACTTTTATACATTGTTACTTTATGCCGTGATATTCAGTACATCGTTACTTTTATACATTGTTACTTTTATACATTGTTACTTTATGCCGTGTTATTCAGTACATCGTTACTTTTATACACTGTTACTTTTATACATTGTTACTTTATGCCGTGTTATTCAGTACATCGTTACTTTTATACATTGTTACTTTTATACATTGTTACTTTATGCCGTGTTATTCAGTACATCGTTACTTTAATACATTGTTACTTTTATACTTTGTTACTTTATGCCGTGTTATTCAGTACATCGTTACTTTTATACATTGTTACTTTTACACATCTTTGTAGGGAAAAAAGTTAATCCCAGTCAATTCTAAACTGCTGTGAATTAAGTTATTTAAAGTGGGTGTCTATTTCTTTAATCGCATGTTGAAGGTATAATTAACAAGCATTCGGTTTTCAAACTGTACGTATAGCTGATTTCTTTCATAAGTCACAACATTTATCTAGAATAAAAAGTCAAACGTTTTTGGATGGAGTTGGCAAGATAGGTTACTACGTTAAATTCAGGGCGTTCAATGCAGATATTCAGACATTTCAAAGCAAGAACCCTAACTTCTTTTCCCCTGAACCCAATGTGAGTAACGCCAGAAAAAAAAATACTTCAGTTCTGAAATTCAGAATAAAACACATTTTTCAAAAGATCCATGGAAACATCTACCCCTTTGGCGGTAAATGGACCATTAGTTTAAGTTGAAAATGAGAGGATGTTAATACAACATTAAAATAACCGAAGAACCAATTGAAATTCGCATAGGCAACACAGATCAAGTGTAAACATTTAATCTTTAAAAAATGCATTTCGCTGTCCAGTTGTCATTGGTTGGCGACAGCCATTCTTGCAGCGATGTATCCATGAAATCAGATTTCGCTATGGACGAGCCAATATCAGCAAAAAATATTTATGGAGTGTATTCGAACGTCTCGCACCATATTGAATCGCGTAAAGTAACACCTAATTCCTATATTGTTTTTTGTATATTGTATAAAAAGTGATGATCATGTCGTACTTGGTTAAGCTTTGATTAAGCACAAAAAATTAAAAAGAGTAGATCCTGTCAAAACAAGAACAGACATGAAATTCAAAAGAACATTTGACACGATTCAGAAAGATGATCTGCTGAAATATTCCAATGGCAAACCTCTAAACATGACTATATGAATACCAGAAAGGAAAGCTTTAAGCAATAATCAGGAACGGCAAACGTCATCCTCTTTTGTAAGAATTACGAGATCTATATAGATATATGTAGGATTATACAAGACCATTTATAGAGGACACATTTGAGACAATTTCTTGAATTGTTTAGTAATGCATACTGTCACAATGTGTATAGTAAACTAACTAGGACCACTCTCCCCATCCCTTGATATTGAGATTTTATAAACCAAGATCACCAAAAATGCGAGATTCGAACTGTGAACCTAAGTACTTTGCATCACATAACTTTTGGGTTGATTTTATTTTCACCAGTTGTGCATTCAGTTAGCTGTAACATTAAAAAAAAAAGAACAAACAAACAAATACACAAACAAAAAAAACAACAACAAATACTAGAAGTACTACAGATAAGAAAAAGAAATATAAATCAGTTTCTTTTTTTTCTAAAGCTGGAACCCTTTCCTGGTTTGAGGAGTTGATGGACCAGCAAAGCCTTCATAATTTTCTTTCTTAAGGCTTCAGCGACCTCAAATACTGGTCCCCAGTTTGACAATAAATTTTTATTTTTGTTTTAAGCAAAGTTAATCTTTTGAAAGTAGAAATGCCAAATGTTTTGTGACTCAAGATCAACATCTGACAAATCATTTTGTTAAATGACATCTTAGGAACCCATTGGGCCTAATGGTTTTTTACTTAGATTAAGAGTTCTGCGTTCAGTACGTCCTCGGGGGAAGGAAAAAAAGAACAAAAACAGTATTAAAGAGCATAAGAAATTTTGTTTCATATTATTTCAAAATTGCGAGCTGTAAAATCTAGAGCAAACTATACAATAACCACTTACCTGCAACTCGAGGAAGGGTCACGTGACATCTTCCACAACTAGCCTTAAAGACACAGTTGGTCTTATATGCTTTGTTTTAATAGTATACACGGTATTTGTGCATTGAAATTTCAAAAACGACGAAATGAGGCAAATTCCAGTCGTTAAAATGATCCCGACTTTCATCTGGTGAAGTATTTGAATCTGAATTTAATTTCACCCAGGTGCACACATTTTTTTTCTGGATCCTAGCGCAGTGATGCCTTGGCTCTTATTTTCTTCCACAAAAGTACTATTTTTTGCGCAAACAGCCAGACTGTGATTAAATTCTCGACAAAGATATCCACCTTATAATATTGTAATCTACCGATAGTTTCATTTCAAATGAATTAGTGAGAACGACATTTTGTCACGCAATCCCAACAACATAAAGATGGCCAAAACAAGAAATTACTAAGCCAGCAGTGTAATGTAATACGCCGCCATCCCCTGTTTATTTTGGTTGAACTGGAAATAAAAGCAGAGAGTCTGTCATCATTTTGATTATATGATACTGTTATTGAAGACTGGATGAATAACTACATCTTAATTAATGTGTGCTGGATTTGTTTATGACTTGATATTTTTTTCCTCGACGGAAAAAGAAGCTGCATTTCTGTAATGCAATACAAGTGTTGTAACCTCGACATAAAGAATTCTTACGATGGTAAATTATTAACAAACCCAAAATAAAAAAAAATATAATGTCCGTTACAACATCAAGCAAAATGCTTCCTGATAAAAAAGAACAAACTAACAAACAAACATGATACAATTATGATTTTAAAAAAATGAAGTTGCATTTGAATTGTATATATAAATTTGCAAGAATGTTTCTGTTCTATGAGGTTGAAAAATTTTAAAAATACTGACTTTAAATTACTAGTCTACTTTTTATTCTGATCAAACATTTCTTGTTTAATTAATTTAAACATTCCGTGTTTTCGTAAAATGTATTTTCTAATACATAGAACGAACTAGGTACACAAAACTGTTATTCATCATATTCAAATCGCAGAAAATTAAACAAACAAACACACACACACACACACACACGAATTTAGTAATAAGATTTTTTT